TGGATCATGACAAAAATGATGAATGAACTGAAACTCAGGATGATATGGTTGGAAAATAAAATAAAAATATATAAATAAAAGTAAAAGTAATAATTGAAATTAAAAGGAGGAATTAGGAATGAAGAATACAAAATTACATATATATATATATACAGTATATATCTATATATATATCTATATATATATCTATATATATATATATATATACAGTATATACACACACACACATAAATGTACATATGTATAAAAATTACAATTTTAAAAATTAAGAATAAAAACAAAAGTAAAAATGAAGATGAAAATGGAGAGTAGACATGAAGATAAACAAAAAAAAAAAAAAACCTATAAGAAATGTATACACATATACATAGAATTATGTAAAAAAGGTGTTGATCTGAGGGGTTAAGGCTAAGGGAAAGAAGGCGGGAGGGGGGAGAGCAATAAGTGATCGGTCCATCAAGAGTGAGCACAATATCACAAAGAATTACAATTGAAAATTATATATACATACATATACAGATACATACAGATTATTATTAATATTTTAGTAACTTACACATCAGAATCCCATGAGCTAGTACCTATACCATAATGTGGCAGTTTGTATAGAGTCACAGCTGGTTGTGTGCTAGTGGAAGAATAGTGTGAACTCAGTATGTATTGAATCAGGAGAATGTGAAATTATAATATATTGGATAGATATTTAATAATGATAATGAAAAGAGTAATCTGTGTCTCCAGTAGATTAATAACTGTATTGGAGATCCAACATAGGGATGTTTTGATTAATGTTATCAAGGAGATATAAGCGGAAAGCTTGAAGTGAGATCGAAAGGTGTACTGGAGTGGGATGAAGCTAGATTCAGAATATAATTAGATGATGGCAGAGGTGTAGCTAGGGGGGGCAGGGGGGTACATATGTACCTTGGCACCAAAGTACAGGGGCGCCAAAATGAGGCTTACAACGTTACATTATGATAAGTGAACAAGGGTAATAAATCGGTCATAAGATCACTGCAGAGGTTGCAGCAGACGTGTCAACTGATACGTCTGCCATCCACAGTGATGATGCTGCCTGCCAGCCACTGCAACCAGCCGAGATATGGATTCTGTGTACATCCGGTTCCGTCTTCACATATTGAGCGTTGATAAAAAAGAGGGCATATGTGACGCACTTGTTATTGTGGCAGAAAACAAAGATGGTTTAAACTCTATTAAGGTACATGTAGGCTGTATGTTGTGTACATAAAGTGTTTATTAAATTAGTAGTACTTGTTCTAGTATAAAACAGTCCATAACTGCTGGGTAATGTCTGTTGTCGTGATATGATTACAACATGGACACGGCAGTGCTTCTGTTCCGTGAACGGGTGGGCTGTATTTGTTAGCTAGCCATACTCACCTCTGGCCATACTTAAAAGCTGGACAAACGGTGGCGAGCTAACAAGGTTTATCTGTAATATTTTTTTACATATAGAATAAAATTTGTTATATCGATATTTTTAAATATCTGGAGCATAATCTGCCTTTAGGCGTATAAATTGTATACTTTATTCCGCACGTATAGCCTAATTATAATGATAATTATTTATTGTAATAGCACTATACCAGTGCCACTATGTTATTGTTTAGGCCTACACTTTTTTTTTTTTCTACGACAGTCTACAACAATGACTGAGTGAGTCATGTAATATAATTTCTATAAACTTGCTTCTTTAAATACAATGTTTAATTAAAATTTAAATTGTTTTTCCTTATCCAATGTAATAGAAAAAAATGTGATTAAATGGGGAGGGGGGCTGGGGCGCCAATTTTATAGTTTGTCCCCGGGCGCAAAATATCCTAGCTACGCCTCTGGATGATGGTGTTGATCTCTAAATCCTTGTTAAGTCCCTTGGGTGGGATATTAAGAGTAAAGATCCAGAATGTTTCTCTGGTACAGAGCTTTTTGAATCTATCAGCCTTGGAGTCACCAGGAGGTATAGATTCAATTACCAAGACCTTGAGATCATCAGTGGATTTGTGGTCCTGCCTTCCCTCCCTTCCTTTTCTTCCCACATCCTGCACCATGGTCCTCTAATTTTGACTACACTCACCACCTTCTACAGTAATTCTAAACAGTAGGGAATTAAGGCCAATTTTCTGCTCTGATGCTCTGCACCCGATCGTGACTCCGTCCCTACTTATTGCACGGTATCACTGCGGTCCCCCCGTGCTCTCTTCATCCTCCCTTTCCTTCCTTCCTCCCCCAATTGACTGCCAGCAATCTGACAGCTCTTAAATATCCTTCCCGTTCATAGGTGGACTTGCTTTACAAAGGAGGCGGAGCTTCTGAAATGCGTTACAGCCTTGCCCACCAGCCATTCACGACACCTGTTACGGTACCTTTCAACCTCTACACTGCTTGGTGGGAATTTTGATCGGACACCGCTGAGCCAGTGAGCGGTCCCTGCTTGGTCCCACTGCAATCACTGATCCATCCACCTGAGTGACCATGATTCTGCTCCTCTGCCTGTTCTTCATTTCCACATGCCGACTGGAGGATTTTTATATGTAAGTTTTCTGCATAAAGCTTTTACTGTTTTTACCCATTTCTCACCTGGTGCCTCCTTTCCTCTGCTTTCCATGGTACCTGTCACGGCCCCTGTCAACTTCTTCCCTTATGGGTGGAAACTTTGAACATACATCGCCAAGTTGCAAGTGGCTCCCTGCATGGTCCCACTGCTGTCACCGATCCATCCACCTGATTGCACCACCATCCCGCTCCTCTGCTGGTCCTTCCACTCCACATGCCGATTGAAGGAATCCCAGATGTAAGTCTTCTGTTTTACAGTTTTCACTGAATTTACTCCTCCTGACCTGGCGCCCTCCTTTTCTTCTGCCCATAAATAAGTATTGCAGGTGCTCATGTTACCCCTTTTTCTGAAGGGACAAATCTGTACAAATATATATATAGTGCTGCCTAAAGTCTTCACCGCTTCAAATTCCTCATAATCTACGGGCTTCAATTTTTCAGAAGTGCAATTCAGAACCTTGACTTTTTCCAGAAATGATTATTCTCAGTATATCTGCAGTGTAATGTAGTAGTAGTGATTTTGATGCCTTCACTGAATAGTCAGACAGTGATTCTGGGACTTACTCATCATGAACCTAAATCCATTACCAGTACATAACTGTGTTTGATTACAGCAGAGTTTACCTTTTTAATTTAGAGATATTGGCTATTGTTAATAAATTGGCAGTACTAGCTGCCACTAATTTCTAATGTCACCTACCTTCTTTTAATGGCTAAGAATGAGTTGGCCAATATTGCACCTTGCAGTAGCTGGTAGGACCAAGACAACACAGAGGCAATAGAGAATCTCATTGTGGTAGTATGGGACATGCTGCTGTGGTGGGAGCCTCTTCTGTGTTAATTCTCCCAAGCACCTGGTTGTAAAGTTAGAGCACAGCTCAAAAGATTGCAGAGCATAGTAAGCTGATGATGAGCAAATCAAAATCTTATTCCTCAGCTGTTAATAACATGCTACATTTTAAATACATTTCACCACATATTGTTTTAAAATTAAAACAAAAAAAACAAACCTTGCAAACTGGTTTAACCATTCTTCAAGACTCAAGCACCCATCTAATTTGATTTTCCATGGATCCACATGTCCACAGACATGTGCTGATTTGCAATTGTTAATTAACTAGAGCTCCTAACTTGGGAATGTGGGCCATTTTGGAATTATTTTCAATAGAGTCTTCAGCCCCAAGTTTGTTGGAGCATTATAATCTCCATGTGAGTTATAGGATCCTGATTACCCCTCCGGGCTAATCATATAGCACCCTGACACTCTGGGGGGGCTGACAGCTGAATCTTTGGGTTTTACCAGCAACTTAGAACAATTATGACTCAGTTTCCAGCTATGTTTGCTTTGATTGGTGTGGAATCTAAAACTCCTGAAGAAACCTTAATAGGCGATACATGTTGAGATCACTACACCACCAGAATCTATAGTAGAATTATGCAGTGAATGTTCCAACCACAATGTATGTATATGGAAAATGTTTTTATTATTTTTATGGATATATTGAGTATTTTTATAATTAATACAGATCAATAAAAATTATGATTTTTTAAATCTTATATTGTAGTACACTATTGGCACCTTAAAAATCCCTTTGGTGCATTTCCTGTCCAGTATATTACAGCGTTTACGTCAGAAGCTGATATTTACTATGCATGTACCCCTGTTTAGTTCATCAAACACTTGTTCAGTGTATCTTCTAATTTACTTTTACACGTTTGTTATTTAGCAGTAGGTTTTAGTTATTTCCAGTATCCATAAACCACAGGCAGTATTTCTAGCATCCAGTGTTTTCCAGTGAAAAAAAAAACATTAAATACATCCTGACCTGTTCAGTGTTTACAATATTTCCTCCATATCAGAAAAATGAACCTTGAGTCAAGCTTCGCAAAACAATTGTTTGTGCTTACAAAGCTGCTATCACCCAGTCTCTCTCTGCAAATCAATATCATCTGATTTCCCTAAGGTTTGAAAAAATTTTCATCACGATGTTGACTCTTTTTGGAGTTTCAACACACATACTAAAGTATTTGTTGGGAAATGTAAACACCTTTGATTTGCATCATAGTGAAAGTTCACAGAAAGCCAATTCATAATATATTCTGTGTAGTCAGTTGTTGAGTCTGGATGCTCTTTTTGTAATGACAACATAAAGAATATGCTGAAATAAAGCCAGGAATTCATTTATTTTAACTTTAAATCCATTTTAGGGATCACTAATTGTTATGCATTTACTAATATCATTTGCGAGATATAAAGAAGCACAGTTTTAGCTACATAGCACAACCTGTTTCCTTTACCATACACTATAGCAATAGGTATATGTTTCCTCCAGTTTAAAAAGAAGAAAGACTGCAGTGTGAGAGTAGCAGTAGCATCCAAAGATAAAATAGACCTTACCACTAAGATTCTTAAGAAATGTAAGGATCAGGGGTGGACTGACCATTTGGAAACTCGGGCACTGCCCGAGAGCCCGGAGACAGTAGGGGACCCCATGAGATGCCCCTGGTACCTTTTTCATAGGCTTTTTTGAGTTTGGGCAAGGACACAGGGGCCCCATGATCCCCTATTGCCCGGGGGCCCCATGAGTTGTCTGGTAAGGATATATGTGCTAAGTAACTATTAACCACTTGCCGAACGCAGATAGCCAAATGACGGCTACACTGCGGCCGGCCAGTTCTGGGAGGGCGTCATATGACGTCCTCCCAGAATGCGCTCTCGTGTGCGCCCCCGGGGGCGCGCACCTGGCAATCTCCGCGATCGCTGTGTCCTACAGACACAGCTGATCACGTGATGTGGTGAAAAGCCAATCACAGCAGCCTTTTACCACGTGATCAGCCGAGTCCAATGACACGCTGATCACCGGGAAATGCAATTGCCGGTTCTCGCTGCACTTTCCTCAAGCTGTCAGAGCGTGAGGAAAGTACTGCCGAGAACCGGCGGTTGTCAGAGCAGGAATTGGCACCGATCATCAGGGCACTGATGATCGGTGCCCTGATGATCGGTGCCCAGCAGTGCCACCCACCAGTTCCGCCCACCTGTGCCCAGCAGTGTGCCCTCCTGTGCCCATCACTGCACCCTCCTGTGCCCAGCAGTACGCCCACCTGTGCCACCCAGCAGTGCCACACACCTGTGCTCAGATGTGCCACCTACCTGTGCCCAGCAGTGCCACCCACATGTGCCCACCAGTGCAACCCACCTGTGCCCATCAGTGCAGCCCAGCAGTGCTGCCAGTCAGTGCCCAGTGGTTGTGCCAGTCAGTGCTCAGCAGTTGCGCCAGTCAATGCCTAGCAGTGTCGCCAGTCAGTGCCAAGCAGTGATGCCAGTCAGTGCCACCTATCAGTGCTGTCTATCAGTGCCGCCTATCCGTGAAACCTCATTAGTGATGCCTATCAGTGCTGCCTATCCGTGCCACCTCATTAGTGCTGCCTATCAGTGCCGCCTATCCGTCCCACCTCATTAGTGCTGTCTATCAGTGCCACCTATCAGTGCCGCCTATCCGTGACACCTCATTAGTGCCGCCTATCCGTGACACCTCATTAGTGCTGCCTATCAGTGCCACCTATCAGCGCACATCAGTGCTGCCTATCAATGCCCATCAGTGCCGCCTATTAGTGCCCATCAGTGCTGCCTCATCAACGCACATCAGTGAAAGAGAAAAAATTACCTGTGTGAAAAATTTTATACTAGAAACAAAGAAATTTTTTTTTCACACATTTTTTTGTTTATAGCGCAAAAAGTAAAGTGCCCAGTGGTGATTAAATACCACCAAAAGAAAGCTCTATTTGTGAGAAAAAAATGATAAAAATTTCATATGGGTACAATCTTGCATGACCGCACAATTGTCAATCAAAATGTGACAGCGCTGAAAGCTGAAAATTGGCCTGGTAAAGACGGGGGTATAAGTGCCCGATAGGCAAGTGGTTAAACAGCAGAAGTTGTAGACGTAAGGACTCTTCTTCTGATCACTTCCTTCATGTTTTGCATAGATTCAGTATAAAAATAATTGGTATTAATGGATCTTTTATTTAAACTACCTTGCATTTTACTTGAGTGTTCTTTTGTACAAAATCAAGCATAAATGGAAAATAACATTTTTCTTATGAATGACAACTCTTAAATGGCTAGAAGCTTTTAAAAAAGGTTATTGGTACAATGTTCATGTCAAGTCGGCAACATAAAATAATTGTTTTAGCTCATTAACTGTTCTGCCTAGTTCTGATCTCATAGTTGGCCAAATCGACAAATGGAATGAACTGTGTGCTGTAAATGTGTACGGTGTAGGTAGGAATGAATAACAACAGAGAATAGCAATAGAAAAATAATTAAGTATAATTACTTTTTATTGCTGACAATATCATTGCAAGTGGTTGACTACAATAACTTTGACACATCTGATGAAAATTCTGCAAGGGTTTCTGCTGGTACTGCGGAGCTTAGATGAGTCTTAGAACTATGGAATGTCTCTGGAGCTTGTATATTTTATGTCAAGTAGTGTTATAATTCCCTATGAGCAGGGTAATGAAATTTTCCAATGTAATGTAGATTCCAATTGAAATTCAGAATAGGAAATGGAAATGATGCTGCTGAGGCTGTATTCCTCATTCATTGCAATTGATTTGTCACTCTGACTTTCATGTACAAGTATCCCAATTTACCCTTATGTGTCCCTTCACAGCTCATGCTATAACAGTAGCTGGTCCCAGAGATGAAGAAAGCTCCAGATAATTTACTTTTTGCTGCTTCTTTTTAGAAGGCCATGGAAATATAGAGTAAAATCTTACTTACTACTGCTCCTCTGCTTTCCCTTATAATATGAGTAAGGTTTTATTTTTTATCTAAATCATTGTGATGAAAACGACATATCAAGTCTTATTCTTTGAAAGCTGTTGAATAATTTAAATCTGAAAAAGTTATTCCGAATATCTCCAAACAACAATTGCATTATTCCATTATACAATGCTTCTGGATGAATATGGGTGCACAGATGTGCCAGATGTTTTAACCATATCAATAACCACTGTCAACAGTGTAGGTGAAAAAAAAAATGGTGTGCTGATAGATAGGGAGAAGCTATGCAACTCCATTCTCAATAGTTTTAAAACAAAAAAGCAATGTGAATATCTCTACCAAAGTAAAAAAAACAAGAAGTAAAGTGTGCATAGTCTCTGATAAAAATATATATTTTAAGGAGGCACTGCATTTAAGTATGAAGAATTTTAGAGGGATATTATATTAACACACTTGAAGAACTGTATAGTAAATGCCCTTGCTGCCCAGGCCATTTTTCAGTTTTCAGAATTGTCACACTTTGAATGTTGATTACTCAGTCATGCAACACTGTACCCAAATGAATATTATATATTTTTATTAGAGAGCGATAGAGCTTTCTTTTTGTAATATGTTATCCCCACTAGGTTTTTTTTTTAATTTTTAGATCTATGAAGAAAGAAAAAATGAACAAAAAACATTTTTTTGTTAGTTTCTGTTATAATGTTTTGCAAATAAATCATTCTTCATAAATTTAGGCCAAACTTTATTCTGCTAAAAAACAAATCAATGTCAAATATATTTAGTCTGTGTGAAATTGAGTCTATAATCCATGGAATATACTGTATATTTGAAAATGGATCAATTCTGATGTTTATGACTGTTCTCCCATTTCTTGAGGCCCTAAAATGCCAGAACATTGGGAATACCATCAAAATAACCCATTTTTGGAACATCAAGAAATTTAGTAAGAGGCATGGTGAGTTTTTTTGAAGTTGTAATTTTTTGCCACAATTCTTTGGAAAATGATTCTCTATGTATTGATTGTGTTCATGTATGCAAATAGATTTTTGAACCAATTCTTTGGAAAATGATTCTCTATGTATAGATTATGTTCATGTATGCAAATAGATTTTTGAATCAAACTGTGCATTTCCTGGATTTACACTGAGGTGTCTTCATGGATGGAAGAAAGGAAATGAATGTCCCACCTATTCTTCCATTTGATGGTCAACATTTCCTCATTGAGCAAACATGCTTACTCTCCTCTTTTCAGCTTTATGGTGACAGATATTTGTGGACAGCCTTTGTGATGTGGTCACACTATACCACAAGCTACAGTTTGCTGCTGAAAAAGTTGCTGGAAAAATGACAAGCTATTATAGAAATTGTCCACATAAAGGTGGTATCCCTGATGGAACAAAGGTGAAATAAGGTCACACACTATTTTCCACTGCTACCTATATAAGTTGGGCATGCGGGGGGGGGTTAGGTAGCTATTTTTTACTTGGTAAACTGTAAGTCATATGTGTACCCTGTGGCCTTCTCACAAATTTGTTTAACGTCATCCCTATATCTGGCACATTTACTTAAGAGATATTGTTTGATGCTCAGTCTGATTGTGAAATCTATGAAGGACTTGTCAATACAGTTACTGTATGTTTGTTGGGAGTACAAATTTCAGACTTTTTGGGGGAAAAAATGATAAGGCCAAAAATTATTTTAAATTCTTCAACTGTGATGGGCTTCCACGCAACTGGATGAGCATAAAAGGAACTGGGATTATTGGCGATGTGCTGCTGGCCATATAGTTCACCTTTATCCACAAATGAATTTAAAAAGTCTTTGGTAAAATACAAAACAAAAACCTAAAGGTGTGTAAAATGTTTTGAATTATCTGAATTCCTGATTGGGCTGTACATGGGGGGTTTATAGGGGCTACTGAAGTAGAAGGTAGCCATAAAAGATTTGAATGTGCTGGGACACTAGTATTGGCCCTAATCTTTTGTGGCTGATGTAACATCCCACTACTCGTGCTTGGCATTTCATCAGGATGTACTGAGTTGTTGGTGCTTTCCTGCTGAAGTTCCATAGGAAGTTCAATACGCCTGACTCTCTTTGTAGTGACCCTTTCATCCTTTGGATCAGAGGTCATTATTGAACTGCTGCTGTCCACTGGCTGCACTGGTCTACGGACACTGTTATTGGTGTGACTACTGATTAGGTACACTGCCTGGTGACACGGGGAATGGTTTGGCTAACAATCAAGAACACTGTGGCTGGCTGCGCTGGTATTCTGACACTTCATATTGGTGTGGCTAGCAATCAGAGACACTGTAGCAATCAGGGACATTGTAAAATGGAGTTGTGAGAGTATAACAGTGTTTTTCACTCCCAGTTTCTTCATCCTTTCACACATGCTTTTTCATCAAGGTCTGCAAAGGTACTACCTACAAATTGAGGCTGCTCCTACAAAGTGACTAAAACCTCATTAATAGTTTCCTTTTTAACCACTTGACCTTCAGAAGTTTTTACCCCCTTCATGGCCAGACCATTTTTTGCTATTCAGCACTGTGCTATTTTCCTTGGCAATTGCATGGCCATTCAACACTGTAGGCAAATTAAATTTATATATATATTTTTTTTACACATATAGAGCTTTCTTTTGGTGTTATTTTATCACCACTGGGATTTTCTATTTTGTATTATAAAAAAAAACAAATAAAGACAAAACATTTTGAAAAAAACAAAAAATTATATATTCTACTTTCTGTTATAAAACATATCCAATAAAAAGAAAATCTTCATATACATAGGCCAACATGTATTCTGCTGCATGTCTTTGGTAAAAAAAAATGTCAATAAGTGTACATTAATTGGTTTGCATGAAAGTTATAGCTTCTGAAAACTATGATATACAGTATACACTGTATATTTGAAAATTGATTAATCCTGATGTACTTACAGCCTCATTTCACAAGGCCCTAAAATGCCAGGACAGTACAAATACCCCTCAAATTACCCTTTTTGAAGATGTAATTTTTTGTCACTTTTTTGGGGGGGGGGGGGGGGGAAATGAAGAGAAATTAAATAAAATTAGTTTTTTTTTTTCACAATTTAACATACTGTCACCAGCGAAGTATAACATCATTATATGACTGGTGTGCCAGTGACCAGGGATACTGACTGGTGACCCTATGTAAAAAAAAAAATTATAAATAAATACATGAATACATTTTTTTTACATTTTTTTTTACTATTTTTCTTTTTATATCCTGTCATCAGAGTAGTTCAGTATCACCATAGTGATAGTCCATTTGACATTGGAAGGTTGTTACTGTGTGAGTGAGTGTAGGTATTGGAGAGTGCTGCTTTGAGTTTCAAAGCTTCACTATGAAGAAGAGAAGACAGCCTTTGGCCTTAGGATTGTATGGTAATCTTCTATGCTATATACCATACTCATCAAAACTATGTTGACTAAATATGAGGCAGCATTTTGATATTAAAACAATACACTGTCAAAAGATAATATTTCAAATGAATCAAAAAATGTCCATAGAAAAATTAATAATGTATATACAAATAGTCTGAGTAGCTCCACCAATGACAACTTCCAGTGTCCCACTAATGAATAATATCACAATAGCATATGATTCCAGTATGTTGGAATCCAAACTTTTACAGATCACCTCATGTCTAATGCACACCACTCCCCAGCACTCTGTTGCACTCGCCGATGCCAGAGAACACGTCTCCACTGCTCTAGAGTCCAGTGGCGGCGTGTTTTACACCACTGCCTCTGACGCTTTCCATTGCACTTGGTGATGTAAGGCTTGGATGCAGCTGCTCGGCCATGGAAACTCATTTCATTAAGCT